AAGTAGCCGGAATTACAGGTATGAACTACCACGCCTGGCTGATTTTTTTTGATTTATTGTAGAGATGCGGTCTTGCTGCCCAGCCGGGTCTCGAACCCGCGGGCTCAGCCAGTCCACTCACCTCAGCCTCCCAAAGGCAGCGGATTACAGGCTGAGCCACCGAGCCCGGCTACTTTCAGATTTTTTAAAGACTCAAAATAAAAGTGACTTTCTCCCTGAAGTCTTTCCTGACTACCACTATTCACCAGGTACAATTTACTTCATTTCCTTGTATCCCTAACAGTAGTAAGTTATATTCTCTCTGTGTCTCCCTCTTGTTCTTGCTCTCTTTCTCTCTCCCAAACTTGCTCCCTTTTTTTCTCTTTCTCCACATATGTATATGTATAAAATTTTATCTTTTCCAACATAGTTTAGTTTCTTCATTGTAATTCTAAAAATCACCTTTTAGTATGAATTTAAAACAGTGTTAAAAGGCACAGGTCAGATATCAGTTAGAACATCATTAATAAAGAGAAAGAAGATCATTTGATAATTTACTTTTATATAGTGTAGTGGATTATTTGGGGACTTTGGTAAACTAACAACAATCTTTTACATCCTGCAATTAAAAAAAAAAGTTCACAGTTGATAGAATTGCCAGGAGACTAGCTACTGGCAGCATGGTCTGTCCTCATCAACTATTTGAGTCTGCTTCTATATTCTGTCTCTTCTCTATCAGTTGGCAGACAAATTAAGTATTCCCAAAGAATCTTAAGGGCATTTCATATAAAAATAAGTATTCAACAAAATAGACACCAAAATTCAAGGAAAGTCAACATTTTGAAAGACATGCACTCAAGTGAACAAAACAAAGATTTTACACTGGAGAAAGTCGGAGAGCAATCTGTAAAGATGGAAATAACAGTGCCAGTAGGGATATTAAGACAATAAGTGAATTTTACATGAAATTACATAGAACAGTGCTTACATCGTAGTAAGTCCTCGAAAAGATTCTGTAATTTACATTGACACAGTTTGAGCAGACATTACATCCATGCAATGGAAAGAATAAAAGGTTTTAGAAATTAAAAGTCATTATAAAATAGTCACCAGTGAAGATAAATAGTTTCCATTGAAGACTTAATGCTTTCAACACTAATGGATGTAGCAAATAAAAATAATACAAGAATATAGAATATTTAATAACACAACTATCAAGTTTAATTAGGCAATTACATAATCTACTTTTTGAATCAGATATTTATGGAATTTTCCAGAAATTGAACATATGCTCAAATGTAGAAATTTCATTACTGCATTTTGGCAGATACAAAAATTGACTTGCTAATATGAAATCGTATGTAGAATTTTTTTTTAAAAATCTTTCCAGGGGAAATGAATGAGAAATTGACTTTGAGAAGATTGGAAACAGCTCCATGTCTACATAGAGACTCCTTTACAGATTGATGGAATTGATGATGAAATTGAAATTCCATTTCTTATTAACTATAAGTGTTAACTAGATATTAATAGTTTCTGATAAAATATTATGAAATTTAAAATTTTTATATATTACATTACAGTTAAATTTTTCTCAGATATAGCACGGTAATTCAGTTGTAGAGCAGTTCTTAGCACAGAAAATGTAGTCTGTAACTAAATATAGGTAGTGGTAACACCTCAGACCCTGTTTATATAAGAAGAAAATTGTGGGTTTCTAATACTTGTTGTCAGGATGTAATAATTCAGTTACAATAAGCAATTTCACTTCTAGATACTCAAAATATTTGGAAACATATATCCACACAGGAAAATTTGTACTCTGATGTTCATAGCAACATTATTCATTGTAGCTAAAACATGGACACAACCTAGATGTCCATCAAGTGATGATTAGATAAGCTAAATGTGGTATATCTTTACAATAGAATGTTATTCAGCAATAAAAAGGAATGACATACTCACTAGGATAGCTGTAATTTTTAAAAGCTAATATTGATGAGGATGTGAATAAATTGAAACTCTTACACATTTATGGTGGGAATATGAAAAGGTTCAAACACTGTGGAAACAAGCTTGACAGCTTCTCAAAAAGTTAAATGTAGTTACCATATGACCCAGCAATACTACACCTAGTCATATACCCAAGAGAATTGGAAATGCATGTTCACATAAAAACTTTTACACAAATGTTCAAAGCAGTATTATTCATACCATATTAGTCAAAAGGTAGAAACAACGCAAATATCGGCCATAAAAAGGAACAAAATACTGTTACATGCTACAACATAGATGAAAACATTACACCAAATGAAAGCAGACAAACATAAAAGACCACATATTGTATGATTCCATCCTTATGAAGTATCCCAAACAGGCAACTTTATAGAGACAGAATATAGATTATCAGGGACTGTGGGGGGAGGAGCACACTGGGAGTGACGGCTGATTGGTACAGGGTTTCTTTTGGGGATGATGGAAATATTCCGGGATTAGGTGGTGATGATGGTTGCACAACTTAGGAAGTATTATAAAGTACAGTGACATGTACACATGGGAAGTTTTAATGTATATGAGATGTATCTCACTAAAAAATGCTTTGTAAAAAGTGATGCTGAGTCTATAGCTATTTTATATTTTGATAAATATGACCATGTTGTCTTTCATTGAAGTAGTACAATTTAATGTTTCAGAAGCTATGTTTGATAGTGTCTGTTCTTCTCACAGTGTGTCATCAAATGTTTTAGTTTTTACCCAGTGTTTCTGTTAAAAAAATAATAACCTAATGTAGATTACTTTTGTTTTTCTCTAATAATGAGCAGGATTGTATATCCTTTCATATACATAAATGTTATATTTTGAGTGTCTGATCTTATCCATTGCCTGTTTTTCTGTTAGTGTTGATTTCTTATTGATTTGCAAAAATTTTTATAACTTTTTTCCTGGTTTGTTTTGCAGCTTAATGATAAATTTTTGTTATGAATGCTAACACTGTTCTGTAATGCTTGTTAGAGCATTGTTCCATCTTCCTGATTTAAACCAAGAACCTAAGTCCTATCTCATTGACACCACTGATGAGAGCTATTATGTTTCTCAGTGCTTATCTTTGTACTTCTAAGCTATGTCAGGTTAGATATCTGTGTATTTAAATGTGTTTATATTTTTAACATCACAGTATTTTGAAGGAGAACTGAATGAGGAAGGCAGGCTTTGGATAGATTAATCCCAAATTTTGATTTTAAGCAGTCATTAAAGTGGACGTAATTTTTTACTTTTCCTAGAAAATATGAAGAATAAAATCACTAGGTTAATAGATAGATGGCTGAGAAGATGGACAAACAGCTAGATTGATTGGGGAAACAATTGGGCTGAAAACCAGCTGATTATTGGTAAAGGAATTCCCCTCCCACAGCTCTTGAATCATTCATCAAATGTAGTCCTTCACATCGTTCGTTCGTTCGTTCATTCATTCATTCATTCATTCATTCAAGACAAGTTCTCACTATGTTGCCCAAGCTGGTTTTGTTCTCCTGGGCTCAAGCAGTTCTCCCACGTACCTGGGATTGCAGGCACACACCACTGTGCCCAGCATTACTTTTAATACAACTTATATGTCAAGTCCTATGCTAGGTGCTGACTCTCTTGTGTTGACTGAAACAGACTTTGTCCCTGACCTCATAGAGTTTATAATCTAATATAGAAGTCAGGCAATGAAAAAGTGAAAAACAAACATAATTGAGTACTGTTATAAAAAAATTCAGTGTTCCTTGCTTGTTTATGGAAAATAACTGAGTAAATGGGAACTGTGTGACATACTTTTGGCAGGGTGGTTAACGAAGCCCTTCTGAATGAAGAGGTGTCAGCTATAGGAAAACTAGAAAAGCTATGAAAGGGAAACTGGAAATTGAGGGCCCTAACTTGATATCCTTGAGAAACAGAAAGGGAACCATTATGGCTACAACTAAGTAAGTTGTGGTGGAAGAGGTCAGAAGAGACCATTCAAGCCATAGTAAGTACTTTGGACCTTGTACTGAGAAATTATCAAGAGGTGTTAAGCAAAGGAGTGGCATAATTAGGTTTATGTTTTGCAAAAATCACTCTAGCTTCTGTAATGGAATACGAAGAGGGAGATGCTAAGAAAAGAAACTGGGAGAGCAGTTAGGAGGCTATTGCCAGAGCTTAGATCAGAGAGATAAGGATATAAATGGATAATTTCAGGTATTAAAATCTATTTATTTGTTCTGCCTTGATTCAAATATAGGTGATAGGAGTTAGGTTTATAAATAACTTTATACTTTTGTAGTGCTTTGAAAATGCTACTACATCTAGTACTTCATTTGCATTTTTAATTTTTTTTAGCTGAGGCATGTTAGCAGTTGAAATTTTTCTGAATTCAATTATAAATTTCCGGAACAAGAACCAAAGTGACTTTTGGCAGTATTGAGACTGTTTATAATTCTCATGCACAGAAAGCAGTTCTTCTTAAAACTAAACGTTATCTCTTATGAAATTTGTGTGTGGGTTTTTTGGGGAGATTTGAGGGATTTGTTTTATTTGTAAAGGAATAGATTAGACGTTATAAGGAGTTGGTTTTCAAGTTCTGTAGTTAAGTTTTGTCTGAATGAGAATATAAAGGCCAGTATATCTTTTTTGTGAAAAGTGAATAAAATCATAAAAACTTGACAAAATGTTATAAAATATTCTTAAATTAATGAAATCACTTCAGATTGCTGCAGTTATTCAGCATCTTTAACTTTTAAATAGATGCTACTGCACATTGTATTGGTGGGAAAATCAAATCAAGATCTTAAAGTTACGATAAATATATTCAGTAATATCTGGCAGAATTTTGTTATATTTGATATGAAAAATATTGTCTGTAACATAATGAATTTTTTTCCTACCTAGGTGTTTTCAGAAATGCAACTTGTAGCATTAATCTCCAAATGGAACAGATTTGCAAGAATTGATATATTATTTCCTCAAGGAAAAGAAATCAGTTTTATTTATTTATTTTTCAGAGGTGGCTGGATCCAAACAAACCAATAAGGAAGCAGCTAAAGAGTGAGCATATACATTTACTTGATGTTTTGCAAGTATATTTTATAAAGATAAAGGATTAATATAATCTGATTAATTAGAACTGCTTCTATTCTAGGAGGATCCCCTTACAGTTTGAACTTTAGAGTCAAATTTTTTGTAAGTGATCCCAACAAGTTACAAGAAGAATATACAAGGTGAGTTTATGGAGCATATTTTTCTTGAAGATATTCTCAAAACTTTAATATGACATTTTGAAATTAATTAGGCAAAAATAGAATACCATGTTGTAATTCTGAGATTCCTAGTCAGCACACAGAATAAGTTATTCCAAAAAAACAATTTTGATGACTGGGAATGCTTAGGATGATTTAGAACTTCAGTGACACCAAATCCGGCCCCAGGCAGCCTCCTGAATATTAAAATTTCTTGTGAACATTAGCTAAGCACTGGTATAATTAGTTAAGGTAATCAGACATTGCTGAAATTACATCCAAAGGATACTGCATGGTGAGAAATTTTTCATATGAAAGCGTATTCTATATGTATCTTTTTATTGAGAAGAACTTAGGATATATAAAATATATAACCATTATGTGCAGGAATAATAGTTTGTAGGTGCTATTTTTTTTATTTGTTTTTAACCTTTGGTTCTAAAGAAAATATAATGGACTTTGTAAAGTATGTTCCAGGGAGTGCACTCACATGTTGAGGGCTTTACTTTATTCCCACTTTACTGCCCATTTTAAGTCTCAACTTATGTTGCTATCTATTTTTGTTCTCACTTCTATTTAACAAAGTGCACACAAGAATGACCCAGATGAGCATTTTGAAAATATTCTTGAATGTAAGATGAAATGTGTAAGATAGAAAGAAAAATGCTGACAATGTGGTAGATATGTCATTAAAATAACCTGAATGATAATCCTGTGCATTGCCTGAAAGGAAGGAGTGTAGGTATTACTTTCTTTTATAGTGAAAGACCTTCAGTATTAGGATTAGGCAATCCTAATGTTTGCAACTAATAGTAGAATTTGAGCTAATTTTCTTTAAAAGCAAAATTGTGTTATATGAATACACTTGAATGTGTTGATTCTTGATAGCCTGTGTTGAAAACATAATCAAGAAATAAGTGTGTCTCACTGATAAAGTAAGTCAAAATAACTTTCTGAAGTAGAAGAATATAAAATCAAATTTGATAGTAGTTGAGGAATTAACTTGTGCTCAGTCCATTAGTTTAGAACCTTTTACAATGGAATGTTATGGTGAAATGGGATAAATGTATTGTTTTTATTTTATTAGCTTAGTGAACATCAGTGATTTTCTACTTTCATCTCAAATGGGAACAATTTGGAGGAGCTTTTTTATTTTTATTTATTTTTATTTTTTGAGTCAGTCTGACTCTGTTGCCCAGACTGGAGTGCAGTGAGCGCTCCTGGCCACTGCAGCCTTGACCTACTGGGCTCCAGGGATCCTTCCGCCTCAGCCTTCCGAGTAGCCGGAATTACAAGCACGTGCTACCATGCCCGGCTGGTTTTTTGATTTATTGTAGAGATGAGGTTTCACCAAGTTGCCCAGGCGGGTCTCGAGCCTGCGGGCTCAGGCAATTCACTCACCTCGGCCTCCCAAAGCACGGGATTACAAGCTGAACCACCGAGCCTGGCTTTGGAGGAACTTTAAACCATCTGATGTCTTGGCAACACCCCTAGATATTCTGATTGAATGGATCTTAGATGGGACCCGAGCATAGACATGTACAGGCTTCCCAGGTGATTCTAGTATGTAGCCAGGGTAAAGAAATACTCTTTTAAAGCTTTAGGACTTGAGTGGTCTTAATGTGATGGTTATGATTACTAACAAGATACCTTCAGCCACAGCTACTAAATTTTCAGAACTAGTATATACCTCATACAACAGGAAATCTGTTAGACCCTCTTACCTTGAAGATTCCACTTTTAATTAGCGAGAAAAGAAAGAATAGAGTCAGATAGCTTTCATCAGGTTAAACATCATTTAGTTTCAGAGACTCTGGCATGATTAAAATTGAATTTTTTCAATTTCTGAGATACATAAACTAGGTAAGTGATATTACTTTCTTTTTACAAATGTAGAAAATAAGACTCAGCCAAATTTTAAGTTATTTGCCAAAAGATCACAGGCGAGTTTAGCCTAGAACTTGAATTCTGGTTTCTACTCTTAACAATCCTTACTGCTTGGTTAGAGTATGAAAGTAAAATTTGGCAAGTGTAGGTATTATTACTATCATTATTTAAGAGAGAGAGTCTCACTCTGTCTCCCAGACTGAAATGCAGTGGAACAATCATGGCTTGCTGCAACCTTGACCTCTGCACGCATGTGATCTTTCCACCTTAGCCTCCCAAGTAACTGGTACTACTGAGGTACGCCACCATGCCCAGCTAATTTTTAAATTTTTTGTAGAGACAGGGTCTTGCTGTGTTTCTCAGGCTGGTCTCGAACTCCTGGTCTCAAGCAGTCCTCCTTTCTCGGGCTCCCAAGGTGCTGGGAGTACAGGTGTGAGCCACCACTTCCAACCAAGTATATACTATTTGTGTAGGATTTACTGTATTATGTCAGGGATGTACCTGACTTTAAAACCCAATTCTAAGATTGTTGCTGCCCACTAGGAACTTAAAATTTTTTTTGTTTAAAGAGACAGGGTTGGCTGGGCTTGGTGGCTCAGCCTGTAATCCCATCACCTTGGGAGGCCGAGGCGAGTGGATTGCCAGAGCAAGTTCAAGTCCAGCTGGGGCAACTTGGCAAGACCTCATCTCTACAATAAATAAGTAAACAAATCACCTGGGCATGATGGCACGCGCCTGTAGTTCCGGCTACTTGGAAGACTGAGGCAGAAGGATTGCCGGAGCCCAGCAAGTCGACACTGGGGTGGTTGTAAGAGTGCCACTGCACTCCAGCCAGGGTAACGGAGTGAGACTCTAACTCAAAAAAAAGGGGGAGAGAGAGAGAGAGAGAGAGAGACAGGGCTGTGCTCTGTCACTGAGACTGGAGTGCAGTGGCACAGTCACCGCTCACTTTAGCCTTGAGCCTCCTTGGCTTCCTCCTATATGACTGAGACTACAAGGGCGCACCACCATACCCGGCTGATTTTTAAAGAAAAACTTTTCGTAGAGACAGGCAGGAACCTTTAACTTTTAATTATTAGACCAAAGTAGGTCCGATGGAAATATACTATCTTGGATTGAGTAAGTAGGTAATATTTATAATATTGTACATTAAGCCTCACAGAGTTTATTTACTTCATTAATATATGAAGCTATGATATTTGTATCCTTTTTTTGGTAATGAATATCTGGTTTTCTGAAAACCTTTCTTACATTTTTTTGTAATTTGAATACTGTCAGGAGCTCTTTAATGACTTTAATTAGCCAAACTAAAATTTTTAATGATTTTTGGCTCTTGGAATATGTGCTTTGTTTTTGTCTGATGAAATATTTTAAAATTCCCTGTTTACACATTTAAAACCACAATATTTGGTTTTCTTTTAACATTATTCAGTCCAATACTTCACCCAAGTATTGATAAATCTGTAAATGAATGGCTTGCCCACTGGCAGGGACCAAACATCAATGCCATTTTGTAAGCCACGTCATCACTCTTATTTTAGGAAACTTATGTTTTTGTTAGTTTTAAAGGAAATTGGGTAGTTGATAATTGTAAAAGTAATAGGGCAAGAGTAGGGAAAGAAACCGTTAAGGTTTTTTTCTGATTAAAGAGAGCTTTCTTTAACCCAAATGGCAGCAGATAGGTGGTTTCTGCATGAGCAGCTTCTTGCTGCCTAATGATAAAATGATCAGCACCCAGGCTGTCCTTGCAGCTGACTTCTTGCCTCAGCAGAAAAGATCGTTTTCTTTCACTGATCTCTAGTATGTCGTTGCTGTCAGCTTTCTCATGTTTCTGATGCTCAAAACTTCTGTGCTTTGCGGTTCTACTGTCTGCATACATTAATCCTCAGAGTATTTCTCCCTTGTCCTGTCTCAGTCATGTAACTCTTAAAAACCTTGAGGAGGTCTATGATAGAAGGAAGCTAGTGGGAGCAAGACATTCAAGTACAAAATTTTATATAGCAAAGAATTTTAAAAAATTGAATTCATGAATTTATGAAAACTTATTTGAAAATATCTTTACCTGATTGTAAAAACAGATATTTAAATATTTAAGCTTTATTTGTTAATGTAATTACACAGTTTCTTAGAACTGATGATGTTATAATTCTAGTAAATGATATCTTTTTTTTTTTTTAAGGTACCAGTATTTTTTGCAAATTAAACAAGACATTCTTACTGGAAGGTGGGCTATTTTAAACTTTTTGTAATGGACTTTAAAAACACTTTTAATTATATATTATTTATGTAATTCATAATCGTTGCAAACTGTAGTATATAGTATGAATTACTTTCATTAGATAAGCTAATTTCTTAATAGTTAAAATTAATTTACATAAAAACCTCAAATGTGGATAGTATAGCAAATTATTGCACTTTTGAAATTATCATTTTTAGCTTTTAGTTATGTATTTTCTGTTTTGTTTTACTAGATTGCCTTGTCCTTATAATACTGCTGCCCTCTTAGCTTCATTTGCTGTTCAGTGTAAGTATCAGCTCACTTTTAGTTCAAATAGCATATGATTTTGTGGTCTGTCTTGGTAGTCCATTGCCTTTAAATTTGGGAGTTTTTAAAGCATGTTTCTATATGGGAAAATGGGAAATAGTACCTGCAATAGAAGTATAATGAAATATCCAATTAGTAAGCAGTTATTATGATTTTTGAAAAAGAAAATGTTCTCTGCAGTTGAGACCTAGAAGAATGTTAAGTGGATTGTTGTAACTTGCTAAAGATTACATTGTGAACATTTTATTTCTAGAGATACAATGTTATTAATGACATTGCTGATTTGGTTATAATGATTGAAAAATTTATTTGTTAAAGTGTGAATATTTTTCTTCCATTATTAGCTGAACTTGGGGACTACAGTCAGTCAGAGAACTTGCCAGACTACCTCTCAGATTATTCTTTCATTCCTAATCAACCTCAAGATTTTGAAAAAGAAATTGCAAAATTACATCAGCAACATATGTAAGAATTTATTTAGTCTTGTATTTATTTGGTAAGCTTCTTAATGACATACTTTCTAGGAAAATGTAAATTATTTCTAACTTAATGGTTGAATTTATTTAATATAGAACAATTTCTATTATCTAGAATAATATTGTTATAAAGAGATGTAGTTGATCTATGCAAAAAAAAAACATTACTTCATAGAATTTATGAGGTTTGTTTTCATTTCTGTTAAGGACCATAAAGCTATATATAAACAGACATTTATTTGCTATTATGTAAAGTTATTAGTTCTTTAAGAAGAAACTTTAGAATATAAATAATATATTCACGATATGCAGATCAACCTGCTTAGTAATTCTTTCTCAGTTTTTAGCTATATGAAAACTGATTTTGTTTGCTGGTAGTGAACCATGAGGAGTAAAGGAACACTATATAATACTAAACTAATTTTTTAAAATTCTTTTAAAAGCAGTACAGGTTGAGCATCCTTAATCTGAAAATTTGAAATTCAAAATGCTTAAAAATCTGAAACTTTTTGGGCACCAACATGACACAAGTGGAAAATTCCACACCTGACCTTATATTATTGGTCACAATCAAAACTTTTCCTTCACAAATTTATTTAAAATATTGTGTAAAATTACCTTCAAGGCTCTGTGTATAAGTTGACTAAGAAACATCAATGAATTTAATGTTTATTATATACCATTCCCAAGGTGTCTCATTATGTATATGCAAATATTTCAAAATTTTTTTAAAAAGTTTCAATCTGAAACATTTCTGGTCCCAAGAATTTCAGATAAGGGATACTCAACCTGTGTGGCAATTTTTAATTTATAACAGTTTTTATAAATTCAACTTTGATTTTTTTGTGTGTGAGTATAATTTTCTGTAACATAATTATTTTTTCAAAATAAATGTGTTGCTTTGAATAGAAAATAATAATTGTTTATTGGTTTAGAATTCAGTTTTGCTTAAATGGGATTCAGAATACTAAGGGAGAAACTAAAGCAGTATTGTTTACTGGCTGAGTCTGAATTAGAGAACCAGACTGCCTGGTTTGGAGTGTTGGTAAGGCTACTTACAATATTGTAACCTGGGCCAAATTCCTTTTTGTCTGTTTCTCTTTCCTTGTATATAAATTGGGGATAATAAAAGTATCTCTAGAGTTATTGAAAGTCAAAATTAGTTTATATATGCAAAGTTCTCACAATTGTGCCTAGCACATGGTAGGCACTGAAGAAATATTAGCTCTTAATATTAGGAAAACTTTCTTTCGAACGAGCGTGGTGACTCAAACCTGTAATTCCAGTACTTTTGGAGACTGAGGCGAGAGGATCGCCTGAGCCTGGGGGTTTGAGACCAGCCTGAGCAACACTGCGAGTCCTTGTCTCTATAATAAATAGAAAACACTAGCTGGGTGTGGTGGTGCACATCTGTAGTTCCAGCCACTTGGAAGGCTGAGGCAAAAGGATTGTCTGAGCCCAGCAGATCCAGGCTGTGGTGGCCATGAGCATGCCACTATACTTTAGCCTGGGAGACAGAGTGAGACTCCAACTCAAAAAAAAAAAAACTTACTTTCATGTAGTAATGACCCATGTATCTAAAACAAGTTGACATTCTGGGTGTACTGGTTCATGTCTGAAATCTTAGCACTTTGGGAGGCCAAGGCAAGAGGATTGCTTGAGACTAGGAGTTTGAGACCAGCCTGGGCAACGTAGTGAGACCATGTCTCTACAAAAATAAAACAAGTTGACAACTATGGCCTACTGCCTATTTTTATACAGCCCACAAGCTAAGATTGTTTTACACATTTTAAATAGTTGTAATAAAAGCAAAAGAAAGATAACACTTTGTGGCACATGAAGTTGTATAAAATTCTGTATCTATAAATAAAACACTCAATGAAACAAAGGTACTCTCATTTGTTTATATGCTGTCTGTATATACTTTCTCACAATGGCAGAATTAAGTATTTGCCACAGAGACCATATGTTCTGAAAACCTAAAATATTTTCTGTTCAGTCCTTTTCAATAAAAGGTTTGCTGGTCATTGATCTAAAATAGACTAATAATTTTTAATAGATTGTCTAGGCCAGGCATGGAGGCTTATACCTGTAATCCTAGCACTTTGGTAAGCCAAAATGGACAGATCACTTGAGTATAGTTGTTCTAGACCAGCCTTGGCAACAAAGCAAGACCTCATCACTGCAAAAAAAGTAATAAACTGACTAATGTGGTAAGGGGACTGTTTTGATCTGAAGTAAATCCCATTTATAATGAAAGTTCTACATATAGCATATCTGAATCAAAGGTATGACAATAAACTCGGATTTTTTTAATTTACCATTAATAAAATGTCTCGTCTCTTCTAAGGAAACGGTTTATACATTTTTAACAAGATACTGGTTATATATTTCTTTTGGTTTAAAGAAATGATTCAGCAAATCTTTTTTAAAATTTTTTATCTACTTATGTTTTTGAATCAAGTGCTCTATTGTCTAGGCTCTAGGTGCAGTAGCACAGTCATGACTAACTGCAGCCTCTGCCTCCTCAGTAACTGGGACTACAGGTGCAAACCACCACACCCAACTAATTTTTGGATTTTTTTGTAGAGACGAGCTCTAGCTATGTTACCCAGGATGATCTAAAACTCCTGGGCTCAAGCAGTCCTCCTGCTTTGACCTCCCAGAATACTGGGACTATAAGCATGAGCCACCATGCCCTGCCTCATCAAATTTTTAAACAAAGCAAAATAAAATTATTTAGTTTAACTGGAGGGAGTATGTATTTTAACTTAATTCAATTTTATAGAAAAAGGATGTATATCTGCTTTTTTTGAGGAGTCATGTTTGTTATGACCATGCACTAGCAATCTGTTGGCTCTCTTTTCTAGTATCATTAATGAATAAAAGGTTGATATCTTTGTGTTTGTAATTTGCTGCTTTGTTCTTCTATAGTTTGATTATAACAGGTAACTAAGGTTGTTAGAACTGTGTATGATCTAAGAGTAAATCTACTTTATAAAGTTTACATTTATAGCAGCAGTTCTTAGAGTTGTATTTTTTTTTTTTTTTCTTGAGTTGGAGTCTCACTTTGTCGCCCAGACGGGAGTGCAATGGCCACTCCCAGCCACCGCAGCCTCGGCCTGCTGGGCTCCGGCAATCCTTCCGCTTCAGCCTTCCAAGTAGCTGGAACTACAGGCGCGTGCTACCATACCCGACTAATTTTTTGATTTATTGCAGAGATGAGGTCTCGCCAAATTGCCCAGGCGGGTCTCGAACCCGCGGGCTCAGACAATCCACTCACCTCGGCCTCCCAAAGGATTACAGGCTGAGCCACTGAGCCCGGCCTAGAGTTGTATTTTTAAGAATCACTTGGGATTCTTGTTAATATAAACAGTTTGAACCTCATCCCTTCTATATAAGACTCTATAGAACAGTACTTCTGAAACCATCTATGATGAGAGACCAAAGCCTTCCCAATCTGTCATTATTATATAATTTACAGTATATTTCAAAAAATATAATAAAGCAAATTATGAGCAAAGTAAAATGGAGAAATAAAAGAGACATTAAAAAATGTTATTTCTTTACTATTAGATTCAATGACATAAAATTACTCTGCCAGATTGCTCTAAAAGTCTCTAATACTCAATTCTTTGCTTTTGTCTGTGCCCCACACTCTGAGGAGTACTGGTCCGCATATTTGAGAAACACCTTTTGTGATTTAAATGCAAATATGGTATACGAACCAAATTTTGAGAAATGCTGCTTTTAAGTTGTATCTGAAAATGAGTGACTTTGTTACAGTTATAAGAATAGCTGGGGCTTTTAAAACTTGCTTGCATTTTCATATTTCTGGAAAATACAAAAATATTCTGGATAATAGTAACTTGCATTGTTGAAAATGTGTCCTCCAGGTAAGATAGATGTTACTATACAGAACTAAGGGGGGTAGTCCCCGAATGGTGCTTTGAAGAGTTAATGAGACTACTTAAATTTTTCCAGATACATAGCCCTTCCCTAAATTAGCCATAATTATGATTGACCTAATTTTTACTTACTGATATCTTTACAGAGGCTTATCTCCTGCAGAAGCAGAATTTAATTACCTAAACACAGCACGTACCTTAGAACTCTATGGAGTTGAATTCCACTATGCAAGGGTAAGTGAAGAAAACTTTAATGATGAGTTAGGTTCCGTAACTTAATATCACATTTTTAGGATTAGGTAACAGATGGAATAACTTATGGTTGCTGCCAATACAGTTGCACTTAAAATTTTTTCTGAATATAAATGTTTTCACAATGACTTCAAATTCAATACCTGATGAGAAGGATGGTTAAAATGAATTTTTTATATTATTTTTATCTAATTTATGTTGTAAAGATAATTTTTGCAGACCTTAAGGTACAGTACCTTTAGAATACTTATTTTAGAAAAAAGGTTAAGTTATAGGAAAAGTGATTTTGTATACTTTTATAATAATCATGATCATAAAAGATGTTTTCATGTCACTGAGGCCTACAATGCTGTACTTACTCTGTTTTCATTTAGTGGAGTTATTTTAGAAACTTTGATTCATAAAGCAAAATGTGGGACATACTAACATATTTGAGTTTTATCTCCCCCCACCCTCTTATTAAAATGAAATGTATAATCACTAGCTTTTTCTGTGCAGCACTCTATAACTTTTTTTTCCTTCTGTCTGATAACACTGCCTTTGAAATACTGTTATCCTCCTGCCATAAGCATATTTATGAGTGGCTACTCTTCATTTGTGTTTCCTTAGCTATATTTCTTCTCATTATTTCTTTGTTATATTCCTTGAGAAGTACTTGGAGTACAGCTATTCTCTCCATAACCAGTGAAAAGTGGACTTATAATTATTGGTTGAGTTGGCTATAGTGTTTATCTTCTCTTGGGATACGTTGTTGAGCCTAATGTGGATTGCAGCCTGAAAGGAAGTTAAAAGCCAAAATTTTTCTTGGCTAATTATTTTGAATTTATTTTACTACATAGACGCAGGTACACAGATATATAGTTGTTTAAGTGCTCAAAGCTCTATACCATATAATGATTTTGTCCTTTAGGGCCTCACCTGGCTATGTTCTGAGAGAGGAACATTAGTGTTTATGTTTCACAAAGCTTATGTCAAGCTCTACTTTAAAAGATGAGATAACTTGCTTTCCTCAAATAAGCATATCTTGTAATTCTGTGTGTTACTTGGAAATCTGTTTGTCTGATTGTATTTAAAATACAGCTCTCAGGCCGGGCGCAGTGGCTTAAGTACTGTAATCCCAGTTTTGGGAGACCAAGGTGAGAGGATTGCCTGAGCCCACGCGTTCAAGAACAGCCTGGGCAACTTGGCAAGACCTCATCTCTACAATAAATCAAAAAAATAAATAAAATAAAATACAGCTCTCATGAACTGTTTACTTTCTCTTAAATATGTTCCTTTCCTCTTCTTTCTTAATTGGGGTTTATTACTTTTTGAACACAATTCTCCAAAATGTAATGTAGTGGTCAATATTTGTGCGACTAGATTTTGTTTTTTTATTATAATAAATTTTTAAACTGATGGAACTTTAAATTCGTGATTTAAAACTATGGCTAAAAATAAAAAGACCTTCAAAATTGTTGTTTTATTACCTAGCAGCCTTCTTCCATATTTTTCTTCTGAGGAAACCCTTTTCTTTTTTCATTTGTTCATATGTATAGGATACATGAGAAATTTGGCCATATATACATAATGCATAGTGATCAAGTCATGGTATTCAGGGTGTCCATCATCCCAGTATCATACATCTTGTTAAGTGTAGTCATCATGATCTGCTACCAGACATTAAATTCATTCCTTCTATCTTATTGTATGTTTGTGCCCTTCAGACCACTTCTTTTCATCCTTCTTCCTTCCCCCCAATCCTTCCTGGTCTCTGTTACTGATTTTTTTTATTCTCTTTCTCCATGTGTTCAAATTTATAAGTGACAACATGCAGTATTTATCTTTTTGTGCCTGGCTTATTTTACTTAAGATAATGATGTTTGGTTTCATGCATGTTGTTGCAGGTGACATGATTTTATACCTTTTTATGACTGAATAGTATTCCACTGTGTGTGTGTGTGTGTGTGTGTATATATGCACACACTACATTTTCTTTATGCATTCATCTGATGTACACTTAGGTTGATTCTATATAGTATTCCATTGTGTGCGTGTGTGTGTGTGACACACTGCATTTTCTTTATGCATTCATCTGATGTACGCTTAGGTTGATTCCATATCTTTGCTATTGTGAATAATGCTGCAGTAAACATACAAGCTCAAATATCCTTTCAAAATGCTTGTTTCCTTTGACTAGAACACAGTAGTGAGGTTGCTGGATTGAATTGTAATCCTATTTTTAGTTTTTGAGAAATTGCAATACTGTTTCTCATAGTGACTGTGCTAGTTTACATTCCCACTAACAGTGTTCACTTTTCTCCACATCCATATCAACATCTGTTATTTTTTATCTTTTTAATAATGGCTATTTTGACTAGAGTACCCTGATATCTCATTGTGGGTTTGATTTGTATTTCCCTGATGATTAGTGATGTTGAGCATTTTTTTCTATATCTGTTGGCCATTTGTATGTCTTCATTTAAGAAATGTCTATTAGCCGGGCTCGGTGGCTCAGCCTGTAATCCCGTGCCTTTGGGAGGCTGAGGTCAGTGGATTGCCTGAGCCCATGGGTTCGAGACCTGCCTGGGCAGCGAGACCTCATCTCTACATAAATCAAAAAATTAGCTGGGTGTGGTAGCGCGCACCT